CTCTCCTTGCCTTCTCTGTTTGTTTAGAGCTGCCGAGATCGTAATGAACCTGGATCCCAAGTCACACTTCTGCGAGGTCTTCTGAAAGGTGTGGTCTCCACATTTATATAGTCTCCTTTGGGTGTGACTGCGAGGTGTGCTTTCAAGGTGTTCGTCTGGCTTGCCGGTCGAATGCGTCAGTGTGCCCATGAGTCAGATCTCACAATGGTTTGGTAGACGGAGTTTCATGGTTGGATCCATGGATCGCCTCACGGTAGACTTGCCAAAAAGTATATGGTGTTCATTGTGGGGAAAAAGTAAGATACTCTGTAGCCGCTCCATTCAAAGTTGCCTTTCGACGAGTGAGCGTTTAGTCGAACGTCGCTGAAATGCTCTGTCGGGTGTGACCAACAATTGGACTCAACAGTTGGAGTAACGCGAATTGCGCCTAGGCACAAATTAAACACTGTCAGGAAATTACGATTCCAGTTAAATTTGGCATGCACTGGTAGTATTCCTGAAAGAATGAGTTCGAGAAATGGTTCTCGTAAATTCAAGACGAATAACTATAAATCCAGTGTTGTGCGACAAAATACAACGATTTAGCTCCAAAAACTACGAGAATTACGCAATTGTAGATGCAAACGGTATTTGGTGTTCATTGACGGTGAAGGAAACGTGTCGTGGGCGCGCAAGTCGTTGCATTGTCTTATGATAGCAAAGTTGAAGGGGAGCGAAGCAGATGAAATCGAGTGTCCAGTTGAAGCTGGAGCGGAACGCTCTATAGCTTGTGACGACGAGTCCACAACAGCAAATTCAGTAAAGATAGTGTACTGTGGCAGAATGCTTAGCGAGGTGATGGGGGGAGGACACGAAAAACAATGTTTCCTATCAAATGAACAGATAGATCAAATGATCTAGCTGGACAGCCAGTTGGAGACAGATATTACAAAATCGCTTATTGGACGTTGATTGCCTAATGTTCGTGTGCACTGAGACGAATTACCCATCGTCTTATTAGGATGATAAGCAGAGCGCCGTTACGACACTAGGTCGTGCCGAAAACTTGCTGTGGCTTCACTTCGAGCGCGCGCGGGCAGTCACACAACTGTGAACTACGAGTGCGATATGAGTGTCTGGCGAATTAGAGTGAACGTCGACTTTGTGAAAGGAGGCCATGTCTTGACGCGAATAAATAGCCAAATATGGCACGCCAGTCAAGCGAAATCCGTTTAGTTTGGTTGAGGCCAGCATGCCGAAGATACTGGGATCAAAATTTCCATAATTAAAATGTGCAAGTGGTCCATAAATACAACCGTTCCTTTTCGTAGTATACACACCCTCTGTCGAGTCTTGACTTCTGGTTTCAATAAGCACTGCCTGAGGACAAGGGGTTATTTCATCATCTTAGTTTATGCCCCCACTAATTGCAGTTCCGAGGGTGTAAACAGACGATTTCTATAGTGAACTCTTATTTCTTCGCATAGCAAGGAATACTGATATGATTGTTGCTGGTGACAGGAATGCCCAAGTGGGTCGTCTTTCAGACTCTGAACAACACCTGGGAGGTCCCTTCAGAGTCGATACACGCCGAACAGACATTGGCGATCGATTCTTGCAACTGTGCGCCGATCACAATTTTTACATTAGCAGCACTGCTTTTCAGCACAAACCGCGTCACCTGGCGGCCACCGAATTTCACAATGGCTTGCACCCAAATTGATCATATCGCTACCAGCTAATGGCGGCGCACATAATTCCAAGTCTGTCGGTCAATTTGGCGCACACGCCTGAATACCGACCATTCTGCAGTGCGCGCACACCTTGCGTCCACTCTTCTAGACTCAAAAAACCGCATAACTTCTAAACTTCTCACTTTTAACTTAAATTCGCAGTTCAGTATCATGACGAACTGCTCACCAATTATTAGTGATGATCGAGGTTGGTGAGTCGAACGCTGATTATGATCGTCTCAAGTATGCCATGGTGAATTCTTTCAACTCCTGCCGTGCACCCAACTTGAAATGTCGTAACTGTAAATTGATCTCTGAGGTATCGATCAGTTTGATCAAACCGCGTAAACAAGTTCCGACGGGCTCTTCAGTTCAGCGTATCTACAACTCCCTGAAACGATGTCTAACAAGGAGTCTTCGAATCGACCGAGAACGTTGATATATGGCAAGTGCCGTTGTGGTGGAGAAATCGCTATTGGACACAGCCGAGTGCTATTCCAGCTCATTCTGAACACGGGTCCGAGAAAGCCATCAGCTAGTGAGACGGGTGTCATCGACTAGCCCGTTGAGCGAAACATTTCGAAAAACAGTTCGGCAGGCCTGCTGCGACACCAGTTTGTCAATACACCTGAGCCGATTTGGGAATTACATGTCACACCTTCCACTTTGGAAATGCTTCAACATGAGTTTTCTGTGTTTAAACAAAACAAGGCTCCTAGACCCGAAGATCTTCCCTTAGCTTTGCTAAAAGATGTAAGTAACTGTTGACTGGACCTGCTTCTCTATCTAACAGGATTTGGAACACTGAAGAGGTGCCTTCAGACTGGTAGCTGTCAAGCGTCTTGTTTATCTCCAGAAAGGTCCAGCACTCTTTTTGCGAAAGTCTTCGAGACATTAAGATTATTTCCGTGGTCTCCAAACTTTTCGCGGGACTCATTCTTCGATGGCTTACCTGGCTTCCGCTATGGTTGTGGTTGCATCGGCCATATATTTATTCTTTACCAGGTCTTAGAGCAGCGACACACATACAGATGATCGATTGTAATGGTTTTCCTTTGTATGTTGTAAGTTTCTTTCTCCCTCCCATTTTCCTGCTTAGCCTCCTCCTACAATCTGATATCGTTTCTTAGCATAATATAAATTTTGCATAATACAATTTTTTGCGGCACAATAACCGGCTGCTATCACTTCGAAACGATATCCGTCCATCACTGGTGCCTCAGGTAGCGTGCCTCTTGCATGTTTTTTTTCTTCTCCTATGTATTGTGGCATAATAGCTAAGGCATCTTCCACCCCTAGCTAACGTGTAGAATGACAATGATGATGATTGACTTACTTTCCCCTTTTCGACTCTGTTGATCGCTCCAGCTTGTTACTGCCTATCCATGAAGGGCGTGCCAGCTGAAGTCCTTTCCATTCTGGTCTCTACCGTGATTCCCGAGGCCTCGAGGGGTCTACGGGAAACTGTCTCCTGAGTTTCCCACGACAAGTGGGGTTCCACAGCATTGTCCTGTATCTCCTTTCAACTTCCACTTTGAACTAATCATGAATGATTCTTTTTTAAACTCTATTGGAGTGGAAATTCTGCCAGGTAACCGACTGACAAACCTGGAGTACGCGGACGACATAGCTCTTCTTAGTCTGACCCAGTGGCTATACAAACACTACTGGATAACTGTTGCGTAGCTTTGCACGTTTCGGCATGTGTTTTACACCTTCAGAAAGTGCTGTTACAGGGCAAGATCGACGCACCACCAGTTCTAGTTATCAGCAAATAGCCACTGGAGGTAGTGAATCGGTTCACTAACCTTGGTAGCTCTATCACCTTGAGTGGTCACATCTGTGGAGGTTACTTTACGTACCAGCAGGGCCCGTGTGGCTTCCCAGACTCAACCATCTATAGAGACGGCGGGATATGAACCGTGTAAGTTAGGCTGTATTACGCTGGGATACGGCTGGTGTCACTATTTATCAGAGACCTGGCCAGTTCGTGGCGAAGGCATTAAACGGTTGGCCGTGTTTGACCACCGATGCTTTTGGATTATTGCTCATGGTTGGTTGGAATACCCGGCAAGCAATGCTGAGGTCCGCCACTTGATTTTTGACAAGACGCCTTCTGGTGTCTCACTCAAGTGCTTTTGGTATCTCACCCGCTTCTGCTGGCTAAACCATATCCTGCGGATGTCGTTTGACTGGCTTCCTTGGCGTGCATTATACGCCGTGCCTACACCGCTGGGCGAAACCTCGAGGTGGCCAGTCCATGACGTGGTATAGATGTTTGAAGAAGTTGACTGTGACTTGGTCGTAATGGTGAATACCGTTTTCGTGGATGCGGGCCTCAAGATGGCCCACACTAATTGTTGGAGACCGTGTCTGACATGGCGCAGTCAGTGGAGCTCCTGCATTCAGTTTCTTGCATCTGGTTGTCAATTCTCGTTCCAATCCGTTTAGTCTAACGCACCTCCTTTTGCTTCCATTTTCTTTGCATTCCACCTCACTATCTTGTCGTTGTTATTTGTTACTATTGCAATGTGAGTCGTGGCAACAGTAAACACCGCACATCGGTGCTCTGACCATAATTCTTCAACCGAACTGAACTTCTAATCCCAAGGTTAGATTTGGCGCAAGACATAACAGACCGTTCGAAGCGGTAAAACACGTTTGTTTAACCGAGTCAGTGAGTGCACCTCATCGACCCCTAAAGGTCGTTGTTTACGGAAATATGTGGTCACTTTGTATGATGGCGCTGTGCGGGTCAAATTTGCCGTAGTTTTCACTGAGTTCACCTTGCAGAATTAACACTTGTTCCTGGAGGGTCAATTTTTCCAACAATCCACTTGTTTTTTTGCTCCCGTTGTGACATACGAACACGCTAACTTCCATTTTAGTCAAACTAAGCGTATACATATTGTGAACTATGTTACCTTTCTTGGTTTTGAGCCTAACATAATTTAACGACGCCTAGGGAAGATACAGGACGTTATGGATGTACACAGTATTTTAAACGAACCATTCATCAAGATGGAATCTTGACAGTTAATGACAATTAATTTTGTGTGCGCATTGACCGTTGATTGTACCTGATGAAACAGTGCTTTCTATGTTATAGGATTGCACAATTCATATATCTGGGTTGCGATGCCCAGCACACTATTTTTCTCATTTACCTCATCGAATCCTTCAAACTTTCGCCAATCCTTCCCTGCGATAGTGTTCCACTGTTCACTGACCGTTCTTTATTTAATCATGTTTGTCGATCTGTTGACTTGCTTTTCTGATTCTCTTTAGGGTGAGACCATTGAAGAATCGCCGGAAAATGGGTCCGGCTCACGTCCTGATTTATCTTCCTACTTCTCAGATATCGGCGAAAATACCTGGGTACGCGGGTTTGATTACGAACGTCTGGATGGCAGCATGAATGCAGTTGTCCGTAAACAAATGCAACATCGTTTCAACCACCCTGCCAACATACGTTTGCGTCTCTTTCTTATTTCCACCCGAGCGGGCGGTTTGGGGATCAATCTCATCGCGGCAAACCGCCTCATTCTGTTCGACGCCTCGTGGAATCCCAGCCATGATGTCCAATCGATATTTCGAAGCTATCGATTTGGCCAGACAAAGCCTGCCTATATTTACCGCTTGATTGCCCAAGGTACAATGGAGGAAAAAATATATGATCGTCAGGTAATTTTTCTCTGTTCCTCAATCGACATCTTTGTTTACTGCCTGCCCTACACATCCTGATCACCTGATTCATGGTTTTCTAACTTTCATTCGTCCAATTATCCCGTGCACCAGTGTCCTTGTCACCTGGAAACGGTTGTCGAATTCGCAGCATTGGTGTATTTAAACCTATCATTTGTCATCTTCATATGATACCATTAGCGTTCCTGTCATTTCGCTAAGCGTTCACCTCGCTCCGCACAACCAGACGCTCATCACTGGCAAAGCACTTGATGATGGGAACTCGGATAACACCATATGTGCTAGTGCATCGCTACCATGTGTCCGTAAACTATGGGAGAGGACTTTAATGGAAAGCATTAAGATTGAACTTAAGTATCCATTTCAGTAGTACAAAATCAAGTTGTCACACCTGACAAAAACCATAAAGTCACAAGCAGATCCGCAACGACATAAAACAGCTTCTTTGCGGTTCTCACCCCTCGGTTTCCAACCAAAATGCATCGCACGTAGCTGAGCATTAAGTCTATTTAACAGGGCTGGTCAGATCACGAGACAACAGCTCACGCGGTAGTCAAATCAAGATTGTGTTTTATGCACCCACAAATGGTGAATATTCGGTTCTGACGCACAAGCCACGGACAGGGATAAATAATGAAAACGAATAGTACATGAGCATAGATAAAAAACTACATTCGTTAACAAAATGCTGACAACTAATATCATCGAGGTAATTTACTGACCAATTTTTGTATGACTGATTTTCTGTCGGTCCAATATTGGACAAACAAGGAACAACTAATGTACCATAGGCCCTTTTTTAGGCGTATGTAGTTTTTTTTTAGCTTGTGGAGGTTGGTACGCATTTGGGCAACTCCCTGTGGAGGTGGTGACTAATATCAGTGAGTATTTTGATGCAACATTGTTACATGAGTTGATATGGCTAGGTACAATGATGTTGCCAATTTCTGGCCTTATACTACCACTACACCGGGACATCTTTCACTGACCTAGCGATTACTTTGGGTTCTTACTCAAGAGACTAGGTAACAGCACGAGAGAGCAATAGGTCCACTAGCGTAACACGCATGCAGTGATAAAACGCTGGATCAAAACACACGGGGTACGGAAGAAGACCTGTGACGTGTGACATAGAAGGATAGTCTCCTAACTTTAATGCATGTTTCGTTTACGTGAAGGGACCAGGTAAGTCCATTGGTCACTGTCACTCTCAGGTATTTTACTCCTGTGGGAGATTTCAAATCTTCACCACCGATGGAAAATTGCAGGCACTTCGTTAGGATTTGCTAGTAGCGATTTCGTTTGAACAGCGAAAGAAGGACATCTTTGCATTTTTCAGTGTTCAACGGAAAGCAACGAGATTTGGACCACTTGTGAGGTTGTCTAGAGGATTTCTAGTTTGGCCGATGATTCAGCGCTTGGATAAGTGATGCCAATGATTAAATCGTCCGCATAATTCAGTAAGTTGGCTTCTTCTGGAACGGGGATTTAGCTAACGTAAGTGGAATATAAGTATGGGAAAAATGGCTTCCTGCAGAACAACGGAATTCGTTGTGAATGAATAATTCTTTCTCCCAGAAACCCGGCAAACTAGATAGGCCTGGTACAATATTCTTTCGACGAATGAACAACCGAATTCTGAACTCCAGATTCTAATAGATTGCGCATCACCAGTTCACGATTCACACAAGCGAATGTGTTGCTAAAATCCAGGAAGCAGATGCGGATGGATTTGTTTTTATTATCCAGTGACGAGAGCACAGTATGTACCAGACATGCAAACTGATGAAGGCCATCTAACACGTTTGGGCTGAGATCCTTTTAATATTAAGCCTCGAAGGTATTACAAGCGACCGGCGTGCAAGCGATTGACTGATATTCACAGGTTCCTTCGTTTGGCACCGGCGTGATGTTTGCGGTTCACCAAATCCCAGTCATCTTGTGTCATTTGAAGCACAATGTGTACAAGTCGGCAAGAGAATGACAGAAGACAGCTTATTCGGACCAGGCGCTTTGTGCACTCGCAACCCGACTAATCCCCTGTTTATTTCTAGGCTGTTCACAGAAGGTGGGTTATCTGCGGATGATTGTAATTGAAAGTCTGAACTACTATTCTGGTCGCAAAAGTTGCGGTTTAGTTCATTTGGACCCGGAATTGAATGCGTAACTCCGCTTAACTGTTTCAGCATTTCCCATATTTCATGATAATTATTGTTTCCAAGTATGGCTTCAACGCAGTTATGGTTGAGGCGACGCAATTCGATTCTTATCCTAACCGATGTACCGTCTTTGTGTTTAAAAGCCTATTCCTTAGGGCTGCGCAGTTGTTTGAGACGTGGAGACGAGGATCTACCAGCACGGATGCAAATTGTTTCAAATAGACAACAGGCGTCGAAGCAGAAGTTTAAGTAACTACTTATCTGGTCACAATACTTCGATACGTCCGTGTCGTAACATGAGCTAAAATCTTTGGAAGCAATGGTTTCACGCGGTTCATGAATATTCTGAGGGAGACATTGTCTCCGTCTGAACTTTCGATCTTTGAAATGTGTGAGATCTTTATCATTCATCTTGCTATGGATAACGGGATTTAACTTTACGATAACATAATTGGAGCTCCCAAGTGACGTTCGATTATAAACAGGAAACGCTTTCTAGTTGTTAAGAAATACCATGTCAAGGATTGCATCTAACATGGTTAGAGATTGTACGATATTATTTAACCCAACACTCGCAATGAAGCTAGTGTCTGATCTGTTAACATCACCGGCAACTATGCACAAGGAGAGTTCCAGGTATTCGAAGACCACAGTCTAAAATTTATTGTGAAATACTTCGAGTTCGAAGCTAGGACAGGTGGCTTAGTTTGCATTTCACGATTAACCAGCTGATGCGTTGCAAGCTGTAGCGAAAATTGCTTATAATCGACGTGCGTCATGAATAATTCGTGCAAATGATAATTTAGAGATACGGTTCGAGAGTTTAATGCACCAACTGACCGAATTGAAGCCTACGTCCTCCCAAGATCGTGATTTTTTCGTAATCACTGGTTCATCTTTCACAGAGATTTCTGAGCAGCAGGGCACATTCCACAAAATTATTCGCCAATGCACACCGAGAAGCGATAAATGAATTGACATCCAATCCAGTGATCGTACTCTCCAGGTCAGAGAAGGGATCAGCTTGGATAAGAATGCATAAGTGTGCCTACAGGCCTAAGGTGCACACTACCTTGCAGATTTCCAGCAAATTCGTGCTTGACTCTGTACAAAAGTACAACACAACACAGCACGGGATCAGAATTGAAACGCGGTAACTACATCGATAGCTTGTTACTTGAGTGCTTAACACTTTGTGGCTCCCATTCACCTCATCACTACGGCTTGCCAAAGGTCCACAAATCTAACAACCCACGACGACCAGTGTCTGGGTCTGCTACACACTCGGTCGCCAAGTGGCTTGTGGAATTTCTTGAACCAGTACGTAAAGAATTATCCGGTCACACTGTGAGTGACACGTTTTCATTTATTCAACAGGTAGAAGACTTAAAATGTGAAAGGATACTTTCCTTTGATGTTGAATATCTACGAACGTTCCATTGTTGAAATGGTCAACTTCGTCTGTGAATACCTAACAGAAAGCAACATTGTTCTTCCTACCCCGGTTCGTAATGTGAAAGAGCTGATTCTGTGTTGCATGTTCAACAGACAGTTCCTATTTGATAGAAAATAGTATAGACAAATGGAGTTGCGATGGGATCACCCCTAGGACCGCTGCTTGCAGACATTTTTCTCGCAGAAATAGTGCGTGGACCTCTCATATACCTAATCACGTCTCTTGATTGTCACAAACACGTTCATTGTTTGTGACTCAAACTGAATCAAGTTAACAACGCGCCCATCGTTGTAATTCACCTACGAGATTAAGGACGGCAAGCTTCCTTTTTTGGATGCTATACTGCGACGACGAGAGGACGGATCGCTTGAATGGTTTTCCGGAATATGACCTGGGTAGGTCAGCACACGCTTTTCCACAGTTTCCTACCGATAAAGTGCAGTCGAAACTTGGTACGGTGCCTGTACTATCTGACTAAAGGATTTACAGCCCAGACACGCTGATAGCGGAAAAGGATTTCCTAATCAAGACACTGGAAAGCAATGGTTACCCAACTGCTTTCATTGAAAAGCATTCCCATTTCCGGACTGAGTCTGAGGCGAAAATGACCGTGAGAAGAAAGGAAGTTTTACTCTTAGTACCTCTCAACCCGGACGTACATTTCGAGTTCTTGAGTAGGAAATTGACTTCCGCGCTGAACCAAACGCACCCGGCCGCCAAAGTCCGTATTCATGCCGAAACCTTTCCACTCATCATAAACCGCCTAAAAGACAGAATTCCTGCCCAGTACAAATTTTTTGTTCTATATCAGTTCACTTGCACCTTGGTGCGCGGTACCTCGGACACTCGACCAGACGTCTGCCAAAACGGATAGCGGAACACTGTCCCGCCTCATTGCAACGTGGTACTACCAGAAATGTCCACAGTTCTATCCTAGAACACCTAGTAGACGGTGGATATAACGTACAAACGGAAGATGCCTTCAAAATGGTGTATGTGGCATCAAAATACTGCTCAAAACTACTCAGAAAGCGCCTATTGGCAACAACAGAAGGGATTGCGATCAAGCGACTCCACCCGGAACTGTATAAACAGCGTGTACTTGTGCAAAGTTTAACCCTACCGTGGCGCTAGCCTGACTTCAGGCATAGTGGTCAATGGTAGTGAGTTCACATTGCACCGTTCCTCCGGTCGCAGCATACACGACAGATCGCCACATCGCTAGTAATAGCTTTTTTACCAGATTATGAATCTCATAACTGTAATTGCCCGATGAGATTTATCGAAGATAAATTTCTTCGCAGTTTTCCTTTTGGCAAATGATAATGACATCACCGTAGTTCCTATGTGTACATTGGCGATCAGTACGATAACAGCTAAATCCGCTGAGTTGCACGACTACATCTTCAATATCAACATGGAGTTAGGTTTCTTGCTACATAACGACGCCCAAACGAGAATATTCACGACATTCTATTACACTTTTGAAGTCTTATATTTTTTCAAGTAGCGAGCACTGAGTAAACTAGGCAGACTCGTACTCCCGAGATTTTCCCTCCGAAGTACGTGCAACCTACCATCCTGCGCGGCGTTTTCATGTGTTACTTTTCTACTTCTTGTACCTTCTCTTTAATTTCGTGTCGTACCGCTTGATTATGGTAAAATGCCCAGTTCACATGCGTGGAACTACGCGGAAATTTCAAGGTAACGCGAATGTAAATTATCATGTCACCAGTTGCAGAACAAAACATTAAAAACCTAAAACAAAATGGTCCTACTGCAGTGCCGAAGAACGTGTGTGTTAGTAAATCCTTTGGATAGAGATTACAGAGCACGGCAAATTTGAACGCCCAGCCAGTTGGTACATCCTGCAATAGTTCGAACCGAGCATAGTGCAGTTCGCATGGAACTCGTACTGAAAGACAAGATAGATAGAGAGCATGCAGCCTCACACAGGAGGCCGGTTGAACTATTCCTGAAAATGCATCACCCAACTCGTCACGACATCCATTGCTCTAAGCAAAATCACTAGTTGTTCCACATCATCCCACTGCGTAAATTACTTCGAAGCCTACAGTGGCTACTCGTCGCTCTTGTTTCTTCTATTTCCTGAGGTTTCGGAGTTGTTGGACTTCATTGCCAGATACCAGACTCCGTTCGAAAACATCCGTGATAGCCTGTGGAGTCGCGTCAATGGTAATTCTTCTGTGCTTTAATTCTTTGATCGACCTGTTAGGTATCCAGTAACGAGTGTTATTGTTATAACGCTGTATACGCAATCGAGCGGTTGCTTCACGCCTGTTGCTAAATCTGCGCACTTACACTTGCTCTGCTTGACGCCTTGGCCAACCCAACGGGAAGGGAAACAGAAGAAGACTCAGCCGACCAGAGTTGTATTAGAACCGAGAACGCTCATTTTTATAGGTAGGTCTCACCAATCCTCTAAACACCACCTGGCAGATTTGGCTACCTGTCTTCCTCGTACGCCCACTCTCCACACCTGACTGTCCGCTCCGTCTGGCCAGTTCACCGTTTCTCTCGGGCACGCCACTCTTCATCCGCCTACCCGGGGTATGGCAACGACATGATGTCTGACGCGCGATTTTATCAGCTTCCGGTCAGACCTTGGCAACACGCATGATGTCTGTTGCGGGATGTTGTCAGCTTTCGACTGGGCCGTGGCAACACGCTCGCGGGGTCTGTCCTAAGCACGCTTTATGGCGAACACACGCGCGTTGGTAGTCAGCTTTCTCGCCCACCTGTCAGTTATAATGATCATAGGGTTGCATGCAGATTTTCTGGTGTCACGCTTAGCGGCGAAAGTATCAGTCGTTGAAGCATAGTGTACTAAAAGTTCGTAAGTGCGGGATCGGTATGCGGATCGCCTCGGTAAGCTTATCTAACTTTAGGGCAGGCCAACTTTTCAGCTAGACTCCACACTAGGTTCAGGGAAAACAGGCAGCGGACTGCAGATCAGAATCGACGCACATCGTCTGAGACTAGAAACACTTAAGGATAAAACTACGTGTCCTGAAGCTTACCGCGATGTTATATGATGGAGTCAATCGCTGTTCACCAGATGCAGAGTGCCAAATGGGGACTGAATTCTGTGCTGTTCAGAGTCGCCTATAATCAACCCCCTCCCGGATTCGAATTTGAAGTACATAAAATCTAATTTGTCTAATCATTTTGTGGTACTTAGGATACTCGCTTTACTGCTCTAGTCATGATGATTCACCGCGTTGTACCAATCTCAGCTCAAATTCACTTATAACTTTACGCTACCTTATCTGGCGAATTTATTGTATTTCTTTTAATAGGTAACCAAGCAATCACTCTCTTTACGGGTAATCGATGAGCAACAGGTGGGTCGGCACTTCAGCGATGCAGACCTGCAAGCTTTGTACGTTTTCGATCCCGATATTTGGATTCCTGGTGACAACGAGAAACGGCCGACTCCAAAGCTTCCAAAGGACCGGCTTCTTGCTGATATGCTATCCGAATTTCCCCATCTAATAGTTAGCTATCACGAACATGATTCGTTACTGGCGCCCAGAGAGGATGAAGGTCTTAGCGAAATTGAGCGTCAAGAAGCATGGCGAGAGTATGAGGACGAGAAGAAATATGGAATGCCTCTGGCTCAATATCAGCGGCTTTTGCAACAGCAAGAAATGGCGGCTCATAGTCAGCAGCAACAGGCGCTGAACTGGCGGATGTTTCAACAGCAGCAACAGCAGTTAATAATACAACAACATTTACAACAACAACAACAATACCCGTGGAGAATGAATAGCGGTCCAACTCCTTCCGCGCGAGTCCCATATCTGATGGCACCACAGGTCCCAAGGGCGCCTATCGGTCCTTTAGCACCAACACAGACAACTTCAGGTACTATCCATGCTTCTTGTTTATGTAATGCGCTATTGTATCTTGCTGCAGTTGTTCCTCGAAGTATGAAGCACTCTTTATTTGGCCACAACTCAACTACATTACTTTCTCGCCGACTGATTTGCCTATTACCCATTTCAGTCCTATATGCTCATTATTGTACTTTTTATCAATTGACTTCACTTATATTCAAGGCATAAATCTCAGTGCTAGCCATCGTGTCAAGATAGACTACGGGGAACGTTTTCTTCGAACAGCATAGATGTAAGCGAACTGGCCGTCACAACCCCATGGCGCAACTGAAGCTTCTACGTTGTTACGATTCACACCTCTTAGAGAAGCATCAGGCGCACCTGTAAAAGTGTCAGAGCATGAGAGTTATCATTCAGAATACCGATGGTACACATGCACGTAGCGGCTTAGATGCTAACCCAATTGAGCGATGATTCATGAAAAAAGCAAGGTTTTTGTCCTAATGTTGGTCTGGACAGCCTCTGATCACACAAAACAGTTTGCGCGAGTACGGGATAGGTCAGCATTACTCAGTGTTTTCTGCTCTCTTGACTGTGGTATTTCCACATCGTAGTTCAAAAATCTGCAGTCACGCCGCAATATCATTGCGATATAGATCTACCTAGGTAGCTTATATTGAATTGCAATCGGAAAGTGGTATTTTAGTTTTTAAAACGGCACTTTTAAGAATTTGGTGTCTATTGGTGTTGGGCATGCTTTTAGTGTCTACCTCGGTGTTATTTGTCCGCCCAATTTTAAATCCGTTTCAGTGATTGTGAACACTTATGCCTGTTAATTACTTTTCGACAGTTCTTCCTTCACTGTCCCAAACGTTTGAGAAGTATCGAGCGCATTTGCTAAGGACTCGGCCGAGTTTGGCAAGTGATCCAGCTCAGCTGGAAAGAATAATTGTCTCACAAATGATGGGTTTGATGACCAAGAATGTGAGGACTACTTTACCCGTGCCGATGCCGCATTTCTCATCTCCGTCAACTAGCCAATCAAGACCATCGTCAAGCTAACTGTATGATCATTTTCTCTCTTGTGTTCATACATTTGCCCATTTTCCAGATCAGATATCTGTCCTTGACATTTGCGTATCACTGTTGCTGGAACCAGCACATCACTGCAACACTACCCAGCTTCAATCACGCACTCGTACCTTCATTGTATTCTTTACCTACCCCTATTGCTTAATGGACTCCGGTAAAGCATACTTTGAGTAACCATATCTTGAATATACCTCGCACTATTATGAGATCATTTCCGTCGATATCATGAGCTCACAGCGATGTTTTACTGTGGTATAAGCAGGTAATTTAATTATCCGGTAGTGAGCCATTGTACGACCAGCCAACTTCATGAAATAGCACCTGGTGCTTGGACCCCACACGATTTTTTAAAGACTTTTTTGATTGCTTTGTGTCTAACGAAGAGGACGCAGCCCGTGTTACCCCGTCTTTAGTGACATTGTTTATCCCCGTACGCAATCATTGACACTTGACTGCCTTCTAATCCATACTTCCTTACTTGTATTTCCAGTGTTATCCGCCCATGATTAAACACAAATGTACAGGCAAATATTTTCCTGCAATAATACTCGCGAGGTCTATTCCATCAGTTTCAGTAGTTTTTTATGCCCATTACATCGAGTAATTATCAGTCGCGCTTTTCGCGGTATTTGTTGAAACCTGTTGCAAATTAGACGCATTCTCTTAGGTGCATGTGTTCCGATGATTCACGATCCATTGTGCTTCAGGTATTTCGAATTCAGAGTGAAATGCGATCCGAACTTAGAGGTAATCAGGATAATCATTCGAGCTGACACCTGTTTCTCTCAGACTGTAGGCACATTTCCTCCGCGAACCCTAGTAGCTATTTGCCACAGTTTGCCACAGATGCCTAGATCTTGCGTGATCGAGCGATTGCCTTGAGAGTGACTCCATTTATGTTCTCCGATGCTAATGAAATATCTTATTACGATGTAACGACCTGCCTGCACTACTGTAAACCTTCCTGACCTATCTCATAATACTGGTCAACAAATTCTTTTTCCTGATGCTGAGGATACCTCAACGAATTCACAGTACTTCGGTGGTGCTGATTTAACCTATGAAAGCAGTTTTCTCGAATTAATTCTTCAATAAGTAATAATATTAAAAAGTAATTATTTAAAGTTTCCCTTGTTCATTTTACATATACGTAAGTTTCTCTCGATGTAGCTGTTTAAACAACCCAGATGTATTCTGATACATTTGTGGCGAAACAAATGAAAAATATCGCTCCGTTGTGAGTCAAGCACATTGCGCTTACTTTGGAGTATAATATAGAGATCAGGAAAAGTCCTGGGCTCATAAGTTTAGCAACACTTGTCGAGTATCTCCGCAAGTGGACAACTAGTGCAAGAGGGGTTTGAATCCTAACGCGCCTATGCTGTGGTGCAAATCGACAAGCCATCATCATGGTTGTTATTTCTGTACCGCCAATGTGAAAATATTTAATCGATGCAACGAATACTGAATTACTTACGTACATTTAAAGATCGTAAACTTTTTCATTGGACAAAATATTGGATACGCAAAGCATCCTTGCTTCATGCGCTTTTAGGACAATAAGGTTAAACAGCGTCATTGAAAGAGGAGGAGTTGGCTTACCAGTGAAAGCATGAATTTAGCCGCAGCTAGCATCATCAAGAGGCCTTTGGTTGACAGAAAAAACGTTATTCTCTAACCACTTCCTATGATGAAACGATATGTTAAATTACGGGACAAAGATGGTGCTAGTTTCAAGTACCTTTGTCGTATGGAGACACTGAAAGCTCGCATCTTCAGTGGTCCTCAAATTCCACAACTAATTAACGATCGAAATTCTACTATATATATATATATATATATATATATATATATATATATATATATATATATATAAACGTGTGGACAGTGTTGGAGCACGTGCTTGGGTTGATTTTGTCCGCGTTGTCCAGAACTTCCTGGGTAACAACATAGCAGGCAACTATGAAGAATTGGTAGAGAGTATGCTTGCAAACTTTGACACATTGAGTTGTAACATGAACGCAAAGTTACACTATCTCCATAGTCACTTGGACAGCTTCCCGGATTATCATGGTGACTTCCCCGAAGAACATCGTGAAACGTTCCGTCAAGACATTAGGGTGATGGAAAGGGTGTATCGAGGCAGGTGGGATAGACTAATAATAGCGGATTATTGCTGGAGCATCCTAAGTGACTTTCTAAAGAAACCACATAGCAGGAAATCGTACACACAAGAATTGACTGTCATGGTATTCATCAGCTGAGTAGATTACTTCTTTAGTAACCATATACACAAGACCACTAGATATTTACTGTCTCTGCATTTGTAGTACAAGAAAGAATTTCCATATGATTGTAAGACAGCATTCTGTTGTTTTCTATCAAATTATACCATTTAGTTGGTGAACTGTCTCAAAAAGTAGAGCTAATCTAGCAAAATCGAGACCAGATTCGTAGTCATCTCTCTGGCACAAGAACCACTGTTGTCCACTAAAAAATGCGTTCTCCCAGCTGAGGTTTGGCCGTAGGAAATGCTAGAATTGTGATTTGGATTGCGTTCCCGGCAAGGAGTGACTGTACTAGAACAACCATTGTTCCATTGTACTTACTGAGGAACCAACCCAAACGTTTTACTACGACTACATCGCCTCGGTTACGAAAAGAGCGCACACGATTTTGACTGTATCTTTCAGCAGCCGATGCAGCTACAATGCCCTTACGAACCTTTCATCTGATGCAGTTGACTTCTGAAACTTAGTATTTATCGAAGGAGCTGGAACGGTTTCAGTTCGTCCAATGCCTGTCATCATAGAGCCGTCATGTGCATTCGGGCGCCCCATATGCCCGACTGCTTCGAAACTGCTGATCGGATAATTTCTTTTGATTTCTGTTATTCGGGAAACTCCATTACATCATCCAAATCGTCGAAGACATGCGATGGAAAAGCAGAAATTACGAAATTCAGCATGGTTAGTTCCGGTTTGATATCGTGGATGTACGACTTGGATTCGTTAGGCTCAGACCATGCTCTGCAAATGCGCTCCCGAAATGAAGCGACTGTAATTAACGAATACTGTATTATAGAGCAAGTAGAAATGAATTATGTACAACTCTTTCGAAATATGCTGAAAAACGTTATAAAAGTTGTCAACCGTGAGTATCGTTGTCGTTCTCATGTAACATTTAAAATATCTGACTCACGATATTTTAGGACTCACAAATGTGATATCTCATCGTAAGTGTGCAATCGTTCTCTGAATCGAATAGTGGTAAAATATAAATCTAGCAACGTTTTGAACTGCTGCACAGATGTTGCCTCCATCACATGTTCAAGCAAATCGTTCCAAATATTTACCACTCTCCGTTCGAAGCACAGTGGGTGAGGAACACGTTTCAAATCCGGCACAACAAGTTTGTAGCTATGTCCGCATGTGCTGCATGGCCCTCGTAAGTGCAGTATTGGTCTCATCATGGGGAAGTTACCGAGATGTAGAATACGGTAGGTCATAATGAGGTCGACTCGCACCCGACGGTAGGAGAAGGTGTTGAGTCATAGTTTCTCGCACCGGTCTTCATAGTCCAAGCCACGTAAACTCGGGATGAGCCTGGTTGCAAAGTGTTGGACCCGTTCGATCTTTTGTGCCTCGCCTCGGATAATCGGAAAGTAGGCGGGCGAACCGTACTCTAGCATTGGTCTGATGTTGGAAGAGAAGAGGCGAGTGGCAACCTCTTCAGACCATGTGCCGAAGCTACGTTTGAGCGCTCAAAGCATGCGCAGTCCGTTACGATACAGCCCGTTCGTGTTGTCCACGGACTTCAAACCATAGCGTGAGAGTACACCTAGGTCCTTCACGGAGGATGTGGGATATAGCGGTTGGCCGTCAAGGGTGTAGATTCGGCCGTCAACACCCTTCCCCAGGCTCATAAATACCGACTTGGCTGGGTTGATCGGGAGAAGAACTTCTGCAGGCCATGTGGATAGGCGTTGTCTTGCTAACGTAGACCACAGTCATCGGGAGCGTAAATTTTTCTCCAAATCTTCATGTCGTCCGCAAACAAGGCATACGGCGACCGGAGAAGCTGCGGTAGATCGTTGAGTTGGATCAGGAACAGAGTGGGCCCCAGCATAGTGCCTTGAGGCACGCCACTTGTAGAGTGGTACCAGTCAGTTAAATGGTTGTCGACCTGTACCCTCCACTTTCGTCCAACAAGAAAGTCACGGATCCACCGGTGCAGTGAGCCACCGACACCACACATTCTGAGTTTGTGAAGGAGAACCTCATGGCTGATCTTGTCGAACGCTTTACTGAAATCGATGAATATCACGTCGACGGACTTCCCGTTGCTTATTGCCTTCAACCACTCATGCCTCGTCACAAGCAGGTTCGTAATGCATGAGCGACCTTGCATAAAACCGTGCTGTGCGGGCGTCAGGAGCTCTTTTTACTGCAGCAATCCCTTCTTCACGATTTTCTCAGCAACCTTTGCCAAAATAGGTGTCAGACAAATTGGCCTGTAGTTGTCTACTTTGTTAGGGTCGCTGCCTTTCGGAATAGGCTTCACCACCGAACATTTCCAGTCAACCGGCAACGAGCCTTCGGACAGCGATCTGCTGAAAAATTCAGTCACGACAGGAGAGAGGATGGTCGAAAGTGACTTGAGAACCAGTGCGTGAAGCTCATCAGGTCCGGCAGGTTTGGTGTCATCAAGGTTGGCGAATAGTTGACCTACCTCTTCAACGCCGCAATGCAGACTATCGAGTTCGGTAAAAGCGGTACACGTCGAACTCGGAACAGACACCTGGTTATTCGCAAATACAAAAGCGAAGTGCGCCGCCAACCCGAACGCACGCTCAGTGCTAGAGGTTAGGGGCTGTCCATCCGGGCCATCCAGCACGGGCACATCACCTGCCGGCTTCAGGCGTCGCTTCACTTAAGCAAAGATTCTCTTTGGGGTGGTCTTCGCGTCTACTGCGAGCTGCTCTTCGAAATGTCGGCGTTTATTCTTTTCTGCACTGTTACAGAGGTTCCGCTGACATTCATACCCTTCGTTATCATTGGTAGAGCCAGAGAGGAGAAATTTGTCCCACAGTCTGCGCCGCCTCCGAGCCAGGTTTCCATACCAATGTGGCTTAATCGGTCCAACCTTCTGACATTTCAATGGCACAAATTGGGAACACAATGATGTCAATCTCTCTTTTATAAATATCCAACAGTCTTCCACAAATGCAACTTGTGTCAGAGACCAATACAGTTGACTCGCAGCTCGAGCTAGACCATCGAAGTCTGTTTTCCAGTAGTTGGGAGCTGGTTCCAGCGGACTTGAATACGGCAAAGATAATTCCATATCAGCTATGAGCACTGAATGGTCGCTTGTAGCCAGGGGCTCCAGTATCCTAACGTCACGCACTCGTTGTTCGTAGCTCGTTAACATCAGGTCGTGACAGGACGGGGTTGAACGTGTTGTTATGCGTGTTAGCTGGCATATGTGTTGCGATGCACCAGTTTCAAGTACTAAATCCACGAACTTTGCTTCAACCTCACTATGTCCAGGCATTAAATGCACATCAGGCCATCGTATTCGAGGACAGTTAACATCGCCCATAA